TGGAGGGTGAGTTAGGCTAGTATCAGATTGCTGTTGTATCCAGGGGTGGAGGGTAAGTTAGGCTAGTATCAGAATGTTGTTGTTTCCAGGGGTGGAGGGTAAGTTAGGCTAAGCAGTATCAGTTTATTTTTCATACAGGGACCTTCCTTATGATGATGAGGATGGTGATGATTTTGATGATTATGAAGATAATGCTGATGAAGATATTGTTACAATGGTGATGATTGTGATGATATCCTTGATGGTGATGATGGTGATTGTGATGATGATGATATTGTTGATGGTGATGATGATGGTGAAGGTGATGATAGTGGTAGTGATAATGATGATGATGATGATGATGATGACTGTGTCTGATGATGATATCTTTGATGGTGACGATGGTGATGGTGATGATGATAGTGACCATGATGATGGTGATGATGATGATCATGAGGAGCTTTGGTCAAAAAAGTTTACTTTGCATGAGGTCTTTTTAGGTGTGAAGTAATGTCCATCATTCCTTAAGTATGTGTATAAGTGTCAATCCTGTTTTCAACATACACTCTTTCTTTGTAATTAGAGCAGTTACATAGTAAGTCATTCCATATCAACTTTTTGTTTTGGTTCATGGAGCTGATTTCCTACTGCCTTATCCACGCAAAATATCACAAATAGCACTTTCAACAAATTCATAACCTTAAACCATTGACATAGCGAGTTCGTTTCATAGAAATGAATGTCGTCCTTTATGTGACGCGGACCTGTATATCTTTATCAAGCTGCTTCTCGGCTACAGTAATTGGTTTTTGTTTTATTAGAACATATATTCAAAAGTTGACCTGCTCAGTTCACATTATTTTTAATGCTTTTTTCTTTTAAATACGATAAAGATATAATTTTCATAGTACGCTTTCTAATTGTTAACAAAATATGCAAAATCCGACTATTGATTAGAATTTTCTGCTATGATATGATTTCATTCAGGCTCATCGTAGAGTCGTTAGTCTACTTTAGTCACACAGTCCAATACTTGATAAAACAAAAACAACATGAAACATGAAACTACTGTAGTGTATTCTTAATAAAACAAACTGCTCTAATGCAATGTTTGACTGCGATACCTTGAAGGTGTCGCTAAACGTAACATG